AAACATTGATGAGAGAAATATCCATCAGCTGCCTCCTGCACACTCCCTACTGGGGATGTGCCCGCAACCAAGGTACATGCCCTTGACTGGAATCGAACCTGGGACCCTTCAGTCCGCAGGCCGACGCTCTATCCACTGAGCCACACCGGTTAGGGCTCTTCATTTTTTTAATATATATATATTTTTTATCGATTTCAGAGAGGAAGGAAGAGGGAGAGAGAGATAGAAACATCAATGATGAGAGAGAATCATTGATCAGCTGCCTCCTGCACGCCCCCCACTGGGGATCGAGCCGGGCATGTGCCCTTGACCGGAATCGAACCTGGGACTCTTCAGTCCGCAGGCTAATGCTCTATATATCGAGCCAAACTGGCTAGGGCTTCATTTTTTTTTAAATTATTGATAAAGGTATTACATATGTGTCCTTGTCCCCCCATTGCTCCCCCGCCCCCTAATCATGCCCTCACCCTCACCCTCATCCCCTGTTGTCTGTGTCCGTTGGTTATGCTTATATACATACAGGTCCTTTGGTTAAGTTCTTTTAATGGCCATGGGAGACCTCAAGGTCCTTGAGAGGGAGGGGGTGAGAGAATGGCCAGGTCCTAACTCCTGGGTCCTAACGGAGGAAGGTCTGATTTTGGGGCAAAGAGCTCTATGCCTTGTCTTCTGCGTACTGGGGAGGTAGGTAGACAGCAAAGACTCCTGGGCCAAGAGAGAGTTTGGAAGTGTCCATGCTGACCGGGGGTGGGCTAGGGGCCTCTTTCTGGATCTCTAACCCCATCTCCCCTCCTTCCCCTCCCCGTCCAGTCGGTGAGGCCCGCAACCTCATCCCCATGGACCCCAACGGTCTGTCCGACCCCTATGTGAAACTGAAGCTCATCCCAGACCCTCGGAACCTGACAAAACAGAAGACCCGGACAGTGAAAGCCACGCTGAACCCTGTGTGGAACGAGACCTTTGTGTTGTGAGCCTCGGGTGCAGGGGAGGCTGTGACGGCTGACAGAGGATGATCTGAGGGTCCTAGTGGCTCACAAGCCTGGTGGGAGGGGTTGGGGTAGAGGGAACACCCAGAAAAGAGCAGAGAAGGAGGGGGAGAAGGAATAGAATGGTTGGGGGAGAGGAATGGAGATGCAGAAGCTGAGAAACAGACATCTATGTATTCAATCGTCATCAAAGCCCAAAGCCCCCCCACTTTAGAGAGAGACAGAGATGAGGAAGAGTGGGAGGGGGAGGAGAGAAAGAAAGAGAGAGCTAGCTTAGTTGGTTAGCCGTGGTCGGCAAACTGCGGCTCGCGAGCCACATGCGGCTCTTTGGCCCCTTCAGTGTGGCTCTTCCTAAGCCTTAGGAGTACCCTAATGAAGTTAATAACAATGTACCTACCTATATAGTTTAAGTTTAAAAAATTTGGCTCTCAAAAGAAATTTCAATCGTTGTACTGTTGGTATTTGGCTCTGTTGACTAATGAGTTTGCCGACCACTGAAGCATTGTCCTGATAACACCAAGGCTAAGGGTTCCAGGGGTCCTCAAACTTTTTAAACAGGGGGCCAGTTCACTGTCCCTCAGACCGTTGGAGGGCCGGACTATAGTTTAAAAAAAAACAAACTATGAACAAATTCCTATGCACACTGCACATATCTTATTTTGAAGTAAAAAAACAAAACGGGAACAAATACAATATTTGTATTTGCATGTGGCCCTCGGGCCGTAGTTTGAGGACCCCTGGATCCCTGGTCAGGACACATACAAGACGCAACCAGTGAATGCACAAGTTGATGTCTCTCTCTCTCTCTCTCTCTCACCCTAAAATCAATAAGGGAGAGAGAGAGAACCCTAGAACGAGACAGACACCTCTCTCTCTCTCTCTCTCTCTCCCTAAAATCAATAAGGGAGAGAGAGAGAGAACCCTAGAACGAGACAGACCGAATAGAGGAGTTTGGGAGCAGAGGGGTGGTGTGATGGGTGATCGGGTGGCAGGGAAAGAAAGAGAAGCCAATTGACACAAAGACAGGGACAGAGACCTGGAGAGAAAGACCTGGGGCAGGTATGGGAAGGGGCCAAGACTGGGGGAGTCGGAGAGAGCTCTCCAGGCAGGGCCCTGGTGTGGGAAGAGGGAACCCCTGTGGGGAGACACTGCACAGACCCCAGCTCTCTGGCTTCGCCTTCTGCCCCGCAGGGGATGGGGAGGGAGGGATCGGGGCAGCGTGCACAGGGCCCCTCACTCTGCCCCCCGTTCCCGCAGCAACCTGAAGCCGGGGGACGTGGAGCGCAGGCTCAGCGTGGAGGTGTGGGACTGGGACCGGACCTCCCGCAACGACTTCATGGGCGCCATGTCCTTCGGGGTGTCCGAGCTGCTCAAGGCGCCGGTGGACGGCTGGTGAGGGCCAGGGTGGGCGGCGGGCGTGTCCACCTCCCTCTGTGTGTGGGCTCCCTCCTGCGGGCCGACACCGTTCTCCCTCCCGGCCCCTCTCTCCCTATCTCCCCCTTTCTCTCCATCGGTATGTCAGGTACAAGTTACTGAACCAGGAGGAGGGCGAATATTACAATGTGCCCGTGGCCGATGCTGACAACTGCAGCCTCCTCCAGAAGTTTGAGGTACGGGGACCCGGCTTCCCCACGGAAAACCCAACCCGCGCCCCGCACCCCCTCCTTCCCCCGCACCCCACTACATACCCAAACACCTACTGGTCCTGGGACTACAATTCCCAGAAGGCCCTGGGGCTCCTTCCTTGGCTTTTCTAAGGGATTCCTGCCTCAAGGTCTGATGGGAATTGGAGTCCCTATTCATCCCCTGCAGCTTGGGAGTTTGAGGGGGGGGGATGTCCCCCACCTCCTACCTCCCTGGGGCTCTGACTCTGGCTTTCTCCCTCCCCCCAGGCCTGTAACTACCCCCTGGAACTCTATGAGGTGAGTGGCGCTGAGACCTGGAATGGAGACAGTGTCATTCCTGGGATCTGTGTGTGTCTCTCTCTGTCCCCTAATATCTGTCTTCATTTCCGCGCACATGGGCCGAACACATAGCAGGTGGCAGGGTTATGCTTGCTGAGTAGTCCTAGGTGAACCTGACTCTCAGGTAACTCCCCGAGGTAGGGACACAGTCACAGGTATGATACCTAAATCCCAGGATAATGTGCTAAATCGGAGTCCAGGGCACTAAAGAGGCACAGACTAACCCAGTTTTGTGGGGGAAGGTAGTCAGGGAGGACTTCCCTGAGGAGGCGCCACCAGAATTGATCCTGGAGTTTTTCTATGTATTTATCAGGGTGGCCTCGCTCTCCTGCATTCGTTTACTCACTCACTGAGCACCTGTTTCTGGAAGTGTCAGATATGCCAAGCCCTGTGCCGGCATCTCCTCTTTCAGTGTCGGTGAGAGCTACAGACAGAGAAATTCACCCGCAGAAGGGATATGTTTGATGATGGAGGGCCTTGGGCACTGGGCACGGGGCACCAGGGAGGTCCCGGAGGTACCTGGCCCTGCCTGGGAGACTCAGAGAAATCTTCCCAGAGAGGTGGGGCCATGGAGGACGTGCAGGGTTCCCCTGCAAAGGAGAGGGACCCCGGGCCAAAGAAGGAATGCTTTCTCCCTCATTTATCCGTTCATAAAACGTTTTGTCGAGCCCCTCTGTGGGTAAGGCAGGGCCCTCATCACCGGGGATAGAGCGGGGGAACAAGGGAGAAAAACATTCCTGCCCCCATGAGGCTTCACACTGAGAAAGACGTGAAACAAAATAAACAAGAACATGTTAGAAAGCAATGAGCGACGTGGAGAAAAATCAACATTAAGGAGGGTAGGGAGTGTCCTAGGAGAAGTGTTTGTGGTTTTAACTGCAGTAAGCAGAGAAGGGGTCACTGAGAAAGGGTGGTAAAGATGTGAGGGAGGTGAGAGAGTGAGCCACGAGGAGAGGAGGGCCTTCCGGGCAGAGGGGACAGCACGTGCAAAGGCCCTGAGGTCAGGGCGGGTCTGCAGTGTCTGCTGCACAGCAGGGAGGACAGGCTGGGGGCGGGGGAGAGCAGGAGGTGAAGTCAGAGAGGGAAGATGGTGGCGGGAGCCTTGTCATTCATTGGAAGGATTTTGGCTTTTAACCTGAGTGAGATGGGAAGGCTATCGCGACCACACAGGTGGAGCAGCAGGCCCAGGGCACAGGGGTGGTGAGGATGTTCAGACTCTGGGTCTGCTCTGAAGGTTGAGCGATAGGAACTGTATTCCTGAGACTGCCCTCCATTCAACACCCTCTTGCTGAGGCCGCTTGTGTTCCAAGCCACGTGCTGGGTGACAGTGGAGAAACAGGAAGGAGGCAGACAACCTGCCGTTCATGGACTTTGATTTCTGGCTCTGCTTATTGTTCCACTGTGTGACTTGGGGCAAGTTACTTAACATCTCTGTGCCAGCTTCCTCTTCTCTAAAAGGGGGTGGGGTGCTAACAGGGTTTTCCAGAGGCTTAATGGCGTACTGCAAGCTCTAGAAGGGTTATTTAAATAATAAATAAACCCTGCCGTTCATGGACTTTGATTTCTGGCTCTGCTTATTGTCCACTGTGTGACTTGGGGCAAGTTACTTAACGTCTCTGTGCAGCTTCCTCTTCTCTAAAAGGGGGTGGGGTGCGGTGCTAACAGGGTTTTCCAGAGGCTTAATGGCATACTGTAAGCTCTAGAAGGGTTATTTAAATAATAAATAAACCCCCTGGCTCTGGAAAGTCCTAGAAAGTTCTTAAGCCAAGCAGGGGGCGGGGACAACTTTGTTGACTAATGAGTTTGCCGACCACTGGTGTAGGGTATCTCCCCACCCTTTTCATTCTTGGATGCTGTCTCTCTCTCTCTTTTATTTTTTTAAAACATATTTTTATTGATTTCAGAGAGGAAGGGAGAGGGAGGGAGAGAGAGAGAATCATCAACGATGAGAGAGAATCATGATCATCTGGCCTCCTGCACGCCCCCTACTGGGGATCGAGCCTGCAACCCAGGCATGTGCCCTTGACTGGAATGGAACCCAGGACCCTTCAGTCCACAGGCCGGCGCTCCATCCACTGAGCCAAACTGGCCAGGGCTGGATGCAGTCTCTCTTAGGGGCACCCCCCTTGTCCCCGTGGGGGATCTGACTACCTCGGGGTCTCTCCCTTTCTCGCAGCGGGTGCGGATGGGTCCTTCCTCTCCCATCCCCTCCCCGTCCCCTAGTCCCACCGACTCCAAGCGCTGCTTCTTCGGGGCGAGCCCGGGACGCCTGCACATCTCCGACTTCAGCTTCCTCATGGTTCTCGGAAAAGGCAGCTTCGGGAAGGTGGGATTCCCGGGGCTGGGGGGGGGGGTGTCTGGAGGGCGGTCACACTTCTGGTCCTCGGCCAGGAGTAGGACTGAGTCCCCAAAGAGGGTTGGATGGGGCCCCTCGGGTCCCTGGAGAGGAGAGACATGAAGATGTGAATTGCAGAGCATTTGAGGTCTTGCTCCGCGGCGTATGTCTTCAGTTTAGCTCAAATAAACTCACTAAAATTTTATTTTATTTTTGAATATATTTTTATTGATTTCAGAGAGGAAGGGAGAGGGAGAGAGAGAGAGAAACATCAATGATGATAGAGAATCATGGATCAGCTGCCTCCTGCACTCCCCCTACTGGGGAATGAACCCACAACCTGGCCATGTGCCCTTGACTGGAATCGAACCCGGGACTCTTCAGTCCGCAGGCCAAT